TGACTTTGGCATTGAGTTGTTAGTTTTTCTGATATTTTAAACTTTTAGCTGATTTTAAGTTTTCACATATCATTTGTCAAATATCTGACCCTGATAAGCATTTCTGCCTGAAAATCTTGAGTTGGCTAACCAGGTAAGTCACTTGAACCATTCTTAATTTACTGAATATTATAGCGCTTTAGTTATCCATTGAGAGAGTTTATTGGCAGAATTTCTGCCAGCCTGAAAAACACGTAAAATTTTTGTAATTTCTACAGTTGTATTATTAGTATTAAACAAACTGATTCATATAATTCTTCAAATATTTTACAACACTGAGAGAAAAGTGTGATTTAAGAAAAGAAAAATAGAAGGTAAAGACAGTGTTTAACAAATTGCATGCAAATATGAACAATTTTTTAATGTGACTTGAAGACAGTCAAAATATTGTTAAATACTGTCTCTTCCTTTCTTTTTTCATTTTTAAATTACACTCTTCTCTAAGTGTTCTTTGTGTGTGTGTGTGTATATATATATATATATATATATGTATGTATACATAGAGAGAGAGTGCAGATGACATGTGTCAAGTCAAGTATATTATTTGTATATTTTTGCAACATTTTATCGCAAACAAGATATTTCTCATATGCTGGAAACGCCATGGGGCAAAATGTCTTTGTTATGACTGTTCCAAAATATTTACCAAGCCCAGAGGTAAAAAGACTGAGTCCATAAAAGAGAAAAGTACAATAATATAACTATATATATATATAATATTTGGACATACAAATCTATTCTTTGTATTTTTCTGTTGTCAGACCAATATTTCGGATACAATGTGCCTCAGCCCTCTTCAGAAGTAATCTAGAAGAAATACTAAATTTCTAAGCTGGAGAACACCTGACAAAGAAACTGTTAATTAAAATAGCCACTGGAAGGGTCAATTTTTACAGTGACATGTACACCAATTGCCCAGGTGATTCCAAACAATAAATGTGTGTAAAACACCCTAAAACTAATTAACACAAGAAAACCATATTTGGTATGGCTGGAGGGAGGCAGATACACTCTCTGATATAAAGTTCAGATAATTGACTGAAAACTATTGGAAAGTAAAAAAAAAAAAAAGCTAAAGAAGATTTTTTTAGTATGTTCACCTAATACAAGGCCCAAGAGCTACTCAAGGTAGAGTTTCACTGAATGAGCTTGTTGTAATAGTACACAAGGAGGAAATAAGAGGTGCATATGAGGATAAGTAGGATAGATAAGAATTGCCCAGAGACTTGCTGAGGGCGGTTGTAGGAACCAGGGAAGCATCTTCTCAGTTGACTGTGCCACAAAATAGTGGCTCTTTAGAAGAAGCTATCCAAATTGAACTTCCTCCTTACTAATGGAATATAAAGGGAATGAAGATGATTTGACGCTGTGTATGGGGGCATGGTGAGTCTTAGCAGTGAATGTAGCTTGTCTGAACATTTTTCATGGAAATAGAAATAGAGTAGCAAGAGGCTAACAATGTTTCATGTGAAGGAAAGAGGTTTAAGTGCAGCAAAATTCATCACCTACAAGGCTGTTTAAACGCTTTGTCAAGACTGGAAATTGAGATATATCAGCTTCTCAACTGAGACTGTGAGTTCATCTGACAGAGATTTCAAATCAATTACACTGTGTAACAAAGTTTCGACTTTTCTTATGTCTTTGGTCAGTAAGTGTTATTTCTTGATTGCTTCTCTCTAGAAAACAAAGAAAGTGAACTTTATTTCCTTCAAAGTTTGTTTTCTTGACCTGGACATTGATGTTTTGAAACTAACCTATTTCCCCCATTACATTCCAGACAGATTCAGCACTGAATTACTGAAGGAGAATTTTCTAGAACTTTCTAAAAGTTTCAAGAATTTCTCGAATATTCTGACTACCAAGGATCATATAATAAAAACATAAAAGACAATATTTTGGGACTGATTTGTGAAAGTAATTTTCAGTAAAAGTATAAATTGTAAAAAATACTCACTTCCCAATTTTTTATAGTCTCTCTTGCGTAATCCTCAAGTAAATAAAGTCAAAGGTCATTTTGTTCCTAATTTCTGTGAACGAGGATGTTCACATTTGATAATTTTCCAAATAGAAATAGTTAAATTTCAGAAATATCATTATCCTGGTCACAAAACAAAGTTTGAAAGAAATATTAACCATCTTTTCATACTTTCTAGGTGTAAGCAAATAGGAAATAACATTTGCTACCCAAGGACAAAAATCATGTCACACAGCATTGTTTAAATCTACTTCCAGATTTTGAAAGAAGAGATAAAATTATAAACTGCATATAAACTATTAAAAATACAAGGAAATATTGCACTATATAGCAAATTTCTCAGCCCAATTAAGAATAGATAAAACAAAAAAAATGTGATATTTGGTGAATTATGTCCAGTAACTCGATAAATGCTACTGGCAGTATGTAACTCATTATCATATTGTTTGGTCATCAGTGACTAAACCAGTTCCCCCACCAGGTTTTGCTGATGAGGACGGTTGCTAGATATCCAACAAGATCAAAAACAAGATTTGTCAAAGGTCAGACAAACAATTTTGTAGGGTCGATGGCCTTCTACCACAAGTGGGGAGATTGGACTCTGTAGCTATCTATAAAGTAAATGCGGTGCTGTCACAGCATCATGAAGTGGAGGGCTTCCAAAACTGAACCCAATGACCAGTACAGATGGTTACCTTGATGGAACCAATGACATCAATTCAAGCCCTCAAGTTGGAAGGTGCTCAACTGAGCAGCGACCCTACAACTAGATGCAGTCATGGGACTAATGCATTCTTGGGCAAATTCTTTCTTTACAATGTATCTCATCAAGGTTTGTCAGACACTCCCGCATCAAAGGCAATCCCAAAAGAGGATTTTTGCAAAGTGCTTTAAAATAATGGAAAGGAAAATAGGATGAATACATAAGGTATAATGGATATCAGCTCCAAATGAGAAATTGGAGAGCCAAGTTCTAATTCCAATCAAATTTGTTACATTCACTTAGGCACAAAATTCTCTCCCCCAGCTATAGGCTGAATAGAAGGACAGACTGAGTCCTGTAGCCTTGGTTGGCAACCAGTCTACCTCAGAAAGAAATGGCAACCTACTGTGGGAAAAATCTTCTGCCTAGTCAGTCATGAATAGAAAGAGATACAATCACCTAAGCATGTATCATGTGTGTAAAAGGGTCTAAAAGAGGGTTACTTTAAAATTGACTAGTCATTTCTTTTATCATTATTATTCTTTTTTGAGAAAGATCTCATATATTAAAGCATTTTTGAATCTATATCTTTCACTATTGATAAATTTGTAAGAAAATGAACAACCAACTCAAATTTTGGGGAGATATTTACCAAAAGCTGATCACATGTTCAACCCTTGAGATTCTCAACAAAATCCAAAGAATAATCTGTGATGTTATTGAACCTAACCTAGCATCTCAACATCAGTCACCTTTCCACCATCATGACGTGGCTTCCCTGTGTCTTTTCTATAATTATTTTCATGGCATTTGTTCTAATAAGCGTTCTCCTCCTTGGTGACTCAACTGCATGAATTTAAGTGTATTACTAGATTGGTAATTAGGTCTCATTGTTTTACTCTTGAAATAGCTAAATGTAACCATAATTTTTATTCTAATATATTCTTTTCTCACACTTCTCACTTGTGGAAAACTCTTCCAGTTTCTTGCTTCCCTGCAATCTATGGTTTTCAAAAAGTTAAACGCAGTGTCACCTACCATCTTCCTGAAACCCATTCTTTTATTGTCCTTTCTCCTTACTAAATTCTTATTTTCATTCACTGCCAGTAACCCCTTGGATCATAGTGGCATTTGCTTGGGGAGAAACAATTAAAGAAAGATTAAATGTGGCCAATATGTGGCCATATGTCTCTTTCACACAAGGTCAGTTTTCCTACTGCCACTATGATTTTAACACATACTGATACACAGATTTCATTTTTACAGTTGGGTAAATATTTCTTCATGGAGGAGGAAGATTACCACACTTTCAGCTTGTTTGGTTGAGAGGGAGGTATGAAATTGAGAGTGTGCAACTACCAAATTATTCATGTTTTTATGTCTCTTTCAAACAAGGTCAGTTTTCCTACTGCTGCTATGATTTACGCATACACATAACAGATTTATATGTAGACATTCATATAATACAAGTTGATATTTTGCCACACTTAAGGAAATATTTACTCTGCTTCATCCTTTTCCTTTCAAATGACAGAAAGTAAGTTAGATTTTTACCTTCTGAACACAATTAACAATTAGTTTTTTAAGTATCTGTCTATATTTCTTTAAAGACATGTTATGTACACTATTTACATTATTTGGACTATTGTCCTCATCTTTTTCACCATATTTATTACAACATTTTGGCTGGACACATGGCACAGTGGGTAAAGGCATTAGTTAGATCCAGTGACAAGACCCAAAGAATGTGAGATCAATACCCAGTTAAGGCAGTGGAGAATTTGGAGAGGAGAATTAACGAGAGATAATTGATAACTGATTTCCAAAAAAACATGGCACATGGAACTAGAACAGTCTACCCCAGTGAGTGAAATAAAGGGTTCAGTTCAACATTCCAAACACCTGAAGAAGGCCGGAATGTACAACGGCTGAAACATTGTAATAAATATGGTGACGAAGATGAAGACAATAGTCCAAATAATGTAAATTAGTTTTTTATTAAGTAAACTTATTTCCTGTCTTAAATTCCATTGTTATGTTAACATAATGTATTTTAACATTATTCAGCAGTGAGATCAGGTCACAAAACATTAGCCATTGGGTAAGTCAGTTGTTATGGACAGAGCAATGAAAAAAAAAGATAGAAATTCTAACACTGATTATCTTCAATTACTACAGTATGCATCAAATGGCAGGATTTAGTTTTTACTCCTTGAGGGAAGTTAATTAAGTGTTCATCAAAATAAAAATAATTGTTAAAAGTGAAAAACAGTAAGAACTTACCAATTGTCTGTAGGATCATTCTTTTGGAATTAAATGTACGAGCCACTCCAGCCAGTGTGAGGACTCTGGTCTCAGCCCACTGCTTCTCTGCTGTGTCCCTTGAATGGTGGATAAGGATGTTACCCCCAGAGGATTCATCTTTGCTTGTGGAGGCTTTACTGGACAGTTTCTGGACATGTTCCAACAGTGGGAACAACACCTGTGACAAAAAGTAAATTGAAAATATTCAAATTTTCATATCAGCTTGTTAGATGCTCAGATTAAAGGAGGTCAGTACTTAAGTATCTAGCATTTATAATTTGGAAGCATACAAACAGGAAATTTTCATTAGAAACAAGGAGAAGAGTACTAAACTGTTATGCAATATTATTCCTCCTAGATGGCAGTGAATGCTGAACAATCTTCTCACAGGTGAAGAAGAGGCTTGAAACAACAGAAATGTGGCTCTACAGAAGGATGCTGAGCATAGATGAATATGTGAGAAATGGCAAAATTTTGAGAAAATACAAACAACAAAGAAATATACTTTGAATCAAGAAGACATAGCTGTAATTTCTAGGGAACATAATGAGGAAAGAGGGCTTGGAAAGTTCAATACTCACAGGGTATATTGAAGGACAGAGGAAAACAATGCATTACCTACCTAGTGAACTTGAGTAAATGGATGGCAGAACAGAGTTTAGGAGAAATAACAAAAAGACAAAATTCATTTAGAGTGGTCTTAGGACAAGAAATTGTGTAGAGCCAAGTCCTGAAGAAGAAAAGTATCAATATGTTATATCCCTACGCAACCAAAACCCATAAACCACACACATTTTACACTTAACAAACCATCTCTCTTTCAACCTCTTCAATACATTAATTTCCCTTCTCTCTTTCAATGTGTAATAGTAGTCCCTGACTACAAAAACAATTAGGTCAGGCAGGTTGACTCCAGCAACAAATCCAAATGGAAGCTACAAATAGATTCTCATAGATGTGCAGAATCATGTGATCAAGCACAAACATTGACGGTGAAATATTAGAAGAATACCGGTTGGGGCAAAGAAACTCAAAGGAGTTGGGCCAGCTATGAAACAGGATTCACCAAACTGAAGATATAAAATGCTATCCTCAACTCACACAAACTTCCAGTATAAAATAAATTGGCTACTGAGTCTTGTGTGAACAACATCTCTTTTTACTTGTTACCATCAAGCAAAGGAAATCACATGATGAAGATGAATTCCAGTTCAACTCAACACACTACGCTGCTTACATCAAATGCATAGGCGAATTCCTAAGTGCGACTCTCATCTAATACAGACGTGCGACACATTCAATTGGATAAATATAACAAGAAGAGAGTAAACGACCAGCTTTTGGGATCAAAACTCATAACAGTGAAGGAAGGAGAATAGATCAAAAGATACCACTGCTTGAGTGAACAAACTGAACTGAATGTAGAAAGAACAAAGAGAAATATAAAACAAAAGAAAGAGAGAGAAAAAAAAAACAGAAAACCCTATTTTATTTCAGATGAAAGACTGAAGCTAAATGACTGTTTCAACTTTTAATCTCAAAATGTAACACATATATTATTCCACAGAAAAGAATAGCATATCTTTTCATGAATTCTCTTGCATTAATGTTATCATGTATTGTCTAGTTATAATTAAATCTTGTTAATTTGTATATTAGCATTTGTTGTTCATTACTGTTGGTTGTCATTCCTCATTTGTAGAAACTTAAGAACACATTAGACAAAATCTAAAATGACGAATTATATTCAAAATATTTTGTTACAGGATTTCAAGTGCAAAACTGAAGCAACAACTAAAAAATTGGCTACCATCTCATATTCAGTGTCATCAGGATAGAATTTTGAAATGGGGAAAAATGAAAGGCTGAAATTTAAACAAATTAAATATTTCTCAAAATTAATATTTGCAAGCACTGAATTAAAGTACATTAAAATCCCTCATATCTGGAGTGCCTTCTATCCAGAATCCCTCTTATCTGGACATGATTTTGATGTGCATATTTTAACTATTTGGTTGATATGTAACTAATGTGAAATTTCTGTTTTTCAGGAAATTTATTTTGGATAATTGCTTATGTTTATTTCAACTTAATTGCTTGTATTGGTGCAAAACATGATGGGAATAAGAGGAAATGAACAATTTTGGAGTAATCGCAAAAAGTGGAAATTTTAAACAGTCTAGACGCTGGTGAAAGTTCATTGTAACTGAGTTCAACATTGTATGATATAAAATCTTCCAAAGAAACTATTCTCCAACGTTCACACTGTCACAATGAACAAGGAAATAAAAAACATGATTGTGATGAAACTTGGACTGAAATTGAAAAAGCTGTTGAAAAGGTTGTCAGTTTTATGGAAAGAAAGCCAGCATTCAGCTATGATGATTGCTATAATGCACACAGAGTTAAAAAGTGTCTTTTGTTTAAAAAATTTCAAGAACAAAAGCAAAACAAAATGAGCAAAAAGTTGAGAATGATATTAGAAGAGAAAGAATCATCATGCAACAGTGATTAAAAAATCCTCGTTATATTATTTGTTTTGCATAAGTGGCATACTTAATTTAATGAATTTCATTAACATAATTTATTTCTTTTTCCTTAAAATAAATTCCATTATATTTCACTCACCATTAGCTTATTTTGTTTACTATAAAACATTGAAAATAAATGTTAAACCTGATTTCAGTTCTTTTATTTTATTCAAAATATAACTCCTCATATTCGGACTTTGTAAACAAATTCCTCATACCTGGAAGGCCTTCTTAATCTGGTTGTTAGGAATTCTACTGTAGTTAATTTTTATTGAACTCATTTTTTTTGTTTTTATTTAAATAAGTGCCAACATTAAATATAGGAAAAAAGGAGATATTTGATAATTTTTCTATATGACAAGTAAATTTTTAAAGACACACAGCGGAAATTGTTACCTTTACAAATGAATAAGGAATCACAGTCAAAAATTATACAAGCAAAAAGAGAAACATTCACCAACTTAAAAATTCAAATAAACCAGTTCACCAAAAGACAAAAGTGAGTCATGGGAAACAAAGAAAACAAAATCTGTCAGATCAGGGATACTGTCATTTCTTAAGAGCAGAGATTGAAAAACTGGAAAATTATGTGAACTTTACCAGAGAACTAGGGAGAGAAACAAAAAAAAAAAACGTATATAATATTGAAGTGACAATTATACCAATAATTACTGGTGCACTCATAGAGAATGTTGAAATAAAATTTGTAACAAATAAAATTCTAAGAAAGAATTAAAACCAATCAGATGATAGCATTACCAGAACTAGATAAAATATGGGGAAGAATGTTTGAGACTTGCTATCACATGATCCCCACTGACAGCAACCAAATGTGACTAGGCCTACATCAATGACTTTTCAGCAACTGATCAATTTGATCAGGTTAAAAATGACCTTCAATCTGTTGTTAAATGGGGCAAGGAGTGACTTGTTCATTTTAATGCCTCAAGAACAAAACTACTCTCTTTTAATCATCTGTGAGAACACTTTTTACCTTCCAACAGAATGGCTGATTCTAACTGACAGGAAGAGTGACTCATTGTGCCTTCTTGGACTAACATTTTCAGCTGACATGAAGTCGAAATAGTATATTGAATCAATTGCTAAGTCTGCAGCTAAGAAATTCAGTTTTTTTTTGTTTTTTTTTTGTTTTTTTTTAAAGCATTACACCCTGAAGCCACTAGGATGCAGGGGGTTGCAGAAGATTTGGAGCGAGAGCAGATAGGAGAGTTAGAAGAAAGGATGAGGAGAAGGATAGTAGGTAGATCAAGGTAACTGGAGATGTCGATTGACATTACATTTGAATAGTTGGAGATTATAGCTCTCAGGGAAACAGTAATTGGGAAGGGTGTTCCACATGTGAGAGGTGCGAAGTATGAAGCTATTGGAGTTCTGCTAGACAAGTTTTCTTACCAGAATCTATCTTACATATTTGTAAATCTACCATTTGTTCTTGCTTTGAATACTGCTGTCACATATGGTCTGGTGGTCCTGCTATATATTTAGAGATACTTGATAAGTTCCAAAAAAGAATCTGCAATGTTATTAGTTCTGATCTGACATCTCAACATCAGTCTCTTTCCCACCATCGTAATGTAACTTCCTTGTACCTTTTCTTTAAATACTTTCATGGTAATTATTCTGATGAATGTTCTGCTATTGTATTTAGACTTTATGAATTTAAACGCAGTACTAGATTGGCAGCAAGGTCACTTCATTTCACAGTTGAAATGGCTAGATGTAACCATAAGTTCTATGCTAAGAATTTCTCACACTTCTTCCTTGTGGAAATCTCTTCTAGCTTCTTGCTTCCTAGTCAATTTTGATCATCAAAAATTTTAATGTAATATCAATCATTATCTCCAGTCATCTTAATTCTTCTGCTTTTATTGTGCTCTCTTCTTAATAGCAGTTTTCCTCATATTCTCTAACACTCAGTAACTCCTTGCATCTTAGTGGCTTTATCGCCTTTGATCTTTTTAAAAAGTTCAAATGCAATGTCAATCCTTATCTTCTGTCTTCTTAATTCTTGTTCTTTTATTGTGCTCTCTTTTTAATAGTAGTAGTTCTCATATTCTCTAACACTCAGTAACTCCTTCTGTCCTAGTGGCTTTATTGCCTTGCTTCAAGTGAAATGATTAAAAAAAAAAAAATGATGGTTCAGTGCTTCTCTTTTAATTCAGACAAACTTATGAATGAGCATTTGAATTTCACATGATTGCCAGATTAATTTACCAGACAACCGTAGGTGGTATTACATTTAATAATAGTTTAATAAAGCAATTGATGATGATGTTGTAAAGATATAAAGAATACCTTAATTCTCAGAAGTGTGCTACTGAATCATTATTACATGACTTCTGTTGGTCTGATAAAATGGAAGATTTGGCACAGTTTTGGAAAGTCAGTGGTGTACCTTGATTCTTAAAAATATGTTAATCGAAACAGGAAAAAAAAAGATTACATTTACTAAATTCAATAAATGAATGTAAATTCAAGTCGATATTAAATTGAAAGTCTACTAAGCATTATTTTCGTCTCCAAGCCAATATTTCTGTTTGACAATTCCCTGATCCTTTAGTGTGCAATCAACATAAAGAAAACATCAGCACTAAAAAATGATTGAATTAAAAAAAAAATGAAACTA